TTATCAGTCTTCATATGCAGTTAAAGGAGCTTGTAATAGGAAAAAAAACCTCTTGGGTATTTAAGATGCTGGATTTTTGGAATGTTATGAAATTTTCAGATTAATTTGGAGAAAATATCAACATCTATAAAAAATCTGTATTTTTCATTTTTGCTATTATTTTTATAAGCTTTAGTAGTTTTAGAATTTCTTATAACAATGCTGTATATTGTTATATTTTTACCTAGATGGCTCAAAGGTTTTGCTGCTATTGTGAATGAGATATCTTGTTTCATATTTCTTAATGTATTTTCTAAATCACTTTGACCTTGTCCTTATGTCTTTTCTGAGCATAAACACATGAGAAAGTGCGTGAATCTCACTGAGGCCTATTTTCCTTATTTACAAAGTTGAGATTAAAAACAGGTTGGGAAACATGGATCCTTTTCAGAACTGAGCACGCTGATTTGGCGATGACGGTTGAAGCGCCTGGCCCAAATTAGCACTATGCTTAGTTCTACCTGACACATTCGAGGGAGCGAGGACTTGGCTGGTGTCGGGTCTGCAGGATCACGGGAAGGACACGCAGCCCCCTGCTGCTGGGCGCGGCCATGTCTGGGTCTGAAGCGGCCCCTGTGCACCCTGGACGCAGCCCTCGAGGCCCAGAGAGTGCAGGACAGCACTGGGCTCGGCCCTGGAACTCCCTCAGTGCTCCGGTTGTTCTGGTCATTTCACCGTGTCTTCGTTTCTTGCTCCTAGACGGGGAGTGTTAGTAAGATGGTTCGTTTGAGTCCATCTCTGCCCTGAGGATTTTGAGTCAGCTGCGTGACTTCAGGGAGTCCAGGCGCCAGCTCACAGCGGGTCTCCCTCACCCTGAGGCCAGAACGCCTTCCACGGGAAGCGGTGGGTCGGGCGGTTCCGGCCTGGTCCTCTCAGCTTGGGAGTTTGACAGTTAAAGCCAGGAACCAGGAGAACGCCCTGTAGTCGAAATGGTCCAGGTGCACCAGCCATGAGGAGACGTGGGGCCCGAGACTCAGGCATGCACACTCTGTGCACGCTCTGTGCCACACTTCAAACGTACACCGTTATAAAGAAAAAGATGGAAAACAGACTGTGCAACCAGGAAGTAACACAACGCTAGGCTAATACGGGTCCTTTAGACGGCGGAACAGCAGAAATGACAGCCAGAGGAACAATAGTAAAGGGCAAAGTCACCCAGGAGAACCAAATCCTAAGTGTGTAAGCGCCTGTCAACAGACTTCAAGATGTAAAACAAACAGATGAGCACAAGTACACACCGGGAAGAACTGACATCTCAGCACCTTTTCTTAGTAACTTTTTAGGACAGAAAGGAACGGAAAGCAGTGGGAGGCTGAAGGCAGGTGGCCACCGTGGCTGCCCTGACGTGACAGCAGTCCTGTGTCCGCAGCAGTGCACACAGCCCCACAGAGGCCAGCAGCGCCCAACCTTGGAAATGACTCACCAGGCAGTGCCCTGCACCAGCCAGGACCACCAGAAATGGAGACGGATACACAGCCACGTACAGGCTAGGAGGTAACTTCACTACACATGTGTCAGGTGCAAAGGAGTCATAAACAACAGACAGCTTTATGCCCAGGAATTGTACAAATTAAATCCTTGAAAGCTGTGGACAATTGAGCCTCACTCAAGAAGAGACAGGTAACTTGAAAGACTTAGTCTCTATTAAAGCAGTTGGATTTATTGTCTAGAACCTTCAGTTAAAGACATCTAGGCCCAAATGTTTTCACAGTTAAATTCTAGAAAATGTTTAAGAAAGATCTAATATCACATTGACACAATTCTATGCAGAATGTAAAAATTTTCAGTGCATTTTAGGAGCTGTAAATACTCTGACTCTCAAACAAGGTACAAATATAACAAGGGAGAAAAAAGAAAGAATGATATATTACCAAGCTGAATTTAGCAGTGTGCATAAGGGCAAAATACATTGGGACCATGACAATTTATCCCTGTAATGCAAAACTCCTTAAAAACAATCACCCGAAGTAGTTCACTATGTTAATAACAGACCACAGAATCTTACAGAGCACCTCGGTATTTGTGGAAAAAGCACTAAGAGTTTAAATGTCATCTGACAAAGAACAGAGTAGGAGTGATTGGAATTTACCCAGACCACAGAAGAGAACCTGCAGCTCACCTCAGTTTTACAGTAAGGTCAGGAGAGTGGAAGAGAGATGGATGTCAGAAACAGACGCATATACATTTTGCCAAATGATTTATGATGCAGAGGCAAAGGTAATTCAAAGGAGAAAGTGTAGTCTTTTCAATAAATAGAGCAGAGCTGGAATAATCAGATGTGCCTATGCAACTGAACTGTTTAACCACATGATTATAAAAGAACAGTAACCTCCAAATTTCATACCCTATACTAACACCAACAGGGCACCTCAGAATGCATCGCAGAGGCAGTATTATAAAGCTTCAAAGAATAAAACCCTTATAATAAAACACAGGAGAAAACCTTTGCCAATGTGAGGTAAAGGATTCATAATAGCAAAGACATGGTCATTAAAAGAAAAAAAACACATTGGACTCCATCAAAATTAAATGCTTTTACTAGAGGTGAAAGATACTGTTTACCATGCAGTATCATATAGGCCTGAAGTGTTTGCAAGTCTATATCTGACAAAAGGTTTGCATAGAGGATACACAAAGATGTATTTAAGCTCAATAACAATGAACAATCCGTTAAGTGGAAAATATGCAGACCTTCTATACATATAAGATATGTATAAATCACATGTATATATAATAATTATTTACAGGTGGGAAATAACACTGAGCGATCCTTACCACCATTAGTCTTCAGGTGAACACCAGTGAAAAGGTCAGCAAATGTGGCTGCACACAGTGCAGTGACTAAAACAGGAACTGACGGTGCCACGTGTGTGTCTCTCCCACACTGCAGCTGGTAATGTGAAGAGCCAGCTGCTCTGGAGGGAGTCTGATGCCTTCTTAGATACTGGCTGTGCACTCATCACATGATCTACAAATCATACCGTAGGTATTTAGCCTAATATGAAATCATACAAAATCCTGTACGTGAAAATTAAGCGGGTTTGTCAAGTATCTCAGGACTGGAATCAATGCAATGCCTGTTACCTAGAGAATCCACAGATCTTTTGCAAGAGCAGTTAACATGGACACACAGCACAACATGGGTGAACTCAAGTGCACTATGCTGTGTGAAAATCCAGGCTCAGGAGTGTGTACAACCCGATTCAGTCCCATGACGCTGTGAAACCAGCAACTAGAGGGCTGAAAATCATTGGTGATGGCAGACGTGACGTAGAAACAGTTTATCTGTGGTGGCATTGGTGATGACTACTGCAGCTGATACCTGACTGCACTTATCCAAATAGAAATGCACACTGAGAGTTATAGTAGATGCAAGTTAAACTGACAAGTTAAAAATAATTACTTTTTAGCATTTATAAATATTTTTTCACAAATATACTTTATTTCAAGTCATTCATTTTAAGATGATTATTATTTTATATCATTAAGAAAATAAATCAATTAAACTATTCCATGCCAAATGATATGATGTACCTCATCTCAAAGTTGTGATAAAATAAAATATAGGTACCTTTAAATATATACAACGTGATACTCATAAACAAGGACTTATTCCCAGCAGGTCCAGGGCCTGGCCTTGAGTCCACAGGACAGAGATTAGAGCCACAGATCTGTGATCAGGGAAGTGAGTCTGAAGCACATGTGGGATCCTGGGGACCCTGGGCTCTTCCCTGTGTGCCCTGTTCCTCCCAGTGGCATGGGCGGGGGGCGGGGGGGGGGGAATCATCCGCCTAGTGTGCACGTTCCTTGCATCTTGTGGAAAGATGATTAGTTTCACTATTCAAGTGACAAGACAAACATTCTCTTTAGTTCATACAAAGACGAGGTAGCATAATCATATTTTTAAGTAACATAGAAAAAGGAGAGACTGTTCCCTCACATTTTTTAAAGGATCAAGTGAAAGACATTAAGCTAGAACTGTCATTTATAAATGTGCCTTGTTTAAGGTAAATTCAATATGTAAATTTTGCTAGAAGTAGATGAATTAGAGAAGATTGTGACAGAGATGGCTGATTATTTAGATAATTCATCAGAATCCCCTTGAGTAGAAAATGCTCTGTGAAGGTTTTACATGTTTGGCTGAGTGTGCTTTTTGTGGGTAATTTTAAGAACTTCTAATGTGAGGTTTATGTACAGATGAACAGCAGCGTTCTCCTGTGTGCCTCTTATCTAGAGTAAGAGGAATAAATTGTCGTGCGCACCAGCGAAGCAGTAAGGTTGACAGAGCGCACGCGGACCGTCGTGGGGCTGTGCTTCTGGGCAAGCTGACACAGCGATTTGCTCTGAGTGCATAAGTTTTTGTATCTTGGGAGGAAAATGTGCAGAGCTTATTTCAGAATTAGCACCTTCCCTTGGCAGTAGCAATGAGGACACATCATTCCCACTGCCTGTTAGTGTCTGGTAAATGTTGTGTATATTTTAAAAGACAGGATGGACCCAATGAAACATATACCGTGGGAAACACTCCCAGTGTCTAAGTGACCAGTGCCGTCCTGAACTGCCATTTATCCCAGTGCGTCCTGCTTTGTGCCATGCATGGGCTCCTGCAGGACTCAAGCCAGTGTTCTGTAAGGTCACTAGAAATCACTTTAAGATAAATCTAGAAACTACTATTGATGAGACCTTCTGTAGTTTAAGTCCTTGTTTAATAATGTTGCTAATGGTTACATATATCAAACACTGAACTTTCTTCATACTTTTAACAGTGTTCCTTATGTTAAATGTACAGTTGTTTCCATGAATGTAATACCTGGAATGCATTTTATCATCTCAAATTATCAAGTGATTTAAAGCCAAATAGTGTGAAGTGTCATACATAGCAAAAAGAGCCAACGTGTTTTTATCACTAAGTGATGAGATGACGTCACAGGAAAGAAGAAGGCAAATCACCAAAGCAGGGCTGTGTGTGCTCAGGGTACATCTTTTATTACGCATATGCCAGAGGGTCGCGTCATATGTGCACTTGGAAAAGTCAGAAACAAAGCGACTGCCTAAGAACTGAACACAGATCAGCCCACCCCACGGGCTGTGTGTCTCACATTCCCTCTCACAAAGGTTCTGCCAGACAGGATGTGGCCGCTCTGCTCACAGAGCACACGCAGGGCAGTGGGGCTGGCATCCACTCACAGTTACGGCAGAGAGTTAGCAGTGCGGAGTGCTGGGGTGCAGCCAGTGTTTACGTACAGACTCTAAAAGCCAAATCATAAAGACCCAGAAAATGTGAAACGCAACTACTTCATAATCAAAATCCAGCCTAGGTATATTTTTGTGCACTGAGTTACGTGGTTTTTCTATTGTATCTGATGCATTCTGGACTTATAAATAACATAAATGACAAAACCGTAAGCAATATCTCTGAAGTTTACAGTTTTCACAAGATAAATGAAGACGTCACTTTTGATTTCAGTGTGGTATAGACTAATGTTGCATTTAGTATAAATTGTTCAATATTTTTTAAAAGAAACATTTAACCGATTATAGAGTCAAGCAAATGAGACCATAACTGTCAGAGGGAGGATGCTAACGCTGTAGCTGCTTATCCCAGGAAACCTGAAGAACCAGGTCTCCCTTCTGGTTCCAGACCGCTCATCTCCGACTTCCCAAAGGAGGAAATGTGTGAGCCGGGGCACTGTACTCTACAGCAATCACCTGTTTAAAGAACGTGACGTGACCTTGGCAGCTTTTAGGGACAGGGGCATAGTTCTATCAATGTATCAAAGGTTAACAAACTGTTTGGGACTGCTTTGTGTAAATTTGCTTTGATAGCATTGCTTCACAGTGATATTTCAGAAAGGTTGGAAACTGGTCAACATGAAACATTTCCCACCTTTTCTATTTTAATCTGTATGCAAAAACCAGCATAATGTATCCAGGTCTATAAAATTACAAACACCCTCTAGAAGTCCCCGAATCTCCATTGTGGAAGAAAAGGGCATTGGCGAGATGTCTGCAGTGAAGTGTGGCTAAAGAAAAGAGAGTTAGAGGAACAGGAGGGGCTTTTTGGTGGGGGCACAAACTGACTTCACAGAGTCACAAGGCCAGGCGTAGGCTGCTGTGGGCCGGGAAGTGAAGAGGTGACAGGGACACCATGGACACCTTGGTCCCCACTCTGCAGCAGGTTTTGGCACTTCATGGAGCCTTCATTTCTCAAGGACCAGCGATGGCATGAAAGTCTGCCAGGCCACACAGCTGGCGACGTGGAACTGGGGACTGACAGGCACCTGGATGTGGGACACACGCATGCCGGCGAGCACACGCATGCAGCCACCTTGGGCGCGGGTTCCCCAGGGGAGCTGTGGCCTTGCTTCAAGCGCTCTCCTCGGTGACTCGCGTTTCAGATTTCAGCCTCACAAACTCCTTGGCCACATCATCGCCAGTTCTCTGGGAGAGAATCCTGAGGATAGTGAGGCCTGTCTCGTCCATGGAAATGCTCTTCAGGAGCGGGTACCAGGCCCCATGGCTCCCCTTCTCGGCGATGTGCTGCAGCCGGATCACAGTCATGCCGACCACCCTGTCCTCGCGCGCAAAGCAGTAGTCCTTCACCGCCAGGTGCAGCTCGTAGGCCGCCGGGCGGCTCTCCTTGCTCAGTGTGCTGTGTGGGACAGAGGCACACACAGGGGCGTTCGTTACACCGGGAAACACTGTGGAAACTGCTGCTCATCCCGGACACTACGCTGACAAGTGTAGGGTCATGCATTTTAGTAGGACCCTTCAGATGTTACTTAGGTTATTAGGTAGATGCATAGATACACTTTAATCTAACAAACGCGTTTTCTCCTAGATAGAAATGCATACGCTTTACTGTCTCTAGGTCCCGCATGTGCATAGTAATGGGAATTAAACGCACTTTATTCAGAGGCAGCATCTCCTCTCCATGTCGAGCCTGTGTGCAGAAGGGGGCTCCTGGCTGGAGCTGGGCCAGGGCGAGGGGCACTCGTTGGGCAATCTCTGTGCCACTGCAGCATCAGCTTATACCATCTTTACACCAAGACTCCTGCAGACCTGCCCTAGCTAGGAGCTTTTCTTGGGGAAGAGACTACTAAGCACTATTCAGAGAAGCTGAATTAGATACAGATTTTAGAGTCAGTCAAAGCTGCAGTCAGGGGGTAGTTTGGTGTTGTTTCTCCTGCCGCAACAGAGACCTGTCAGGAGGGAGGCTGTGGACACCTCTGCTGACCATAGCAAGCCTGGCTATCAGGGTGGAGCTGCACCAAACCAGCTTCCCTCTCCCTCCGCCTCTTATCTAATTCTCCCAACTGCCTTGCCTTCCTAATGGAAGCGCCATCTGTTTGCTAGCTGACCCAGCTGCCAGAACCCTTTCTTTCCCAGGTGATTGTTTTTCCACTGAGATATTTTGCAGTTTTGTCTTCAAGAGACATTGACAGCTAAACTGAGCACTTACTCTAGAGACATTCTGCAAAATGTGAAAGAAAATGGTAGCCTGATGTGTGGGAGGCACAGAGCAATCTTCTTTTGCACTAAAATGCATCAGAAAGCTACCATTAGGGCTGTGGTCCTGCAGGGTCCTGTATAGCGCTCAGAGTTTGCATTTGAATTAGGTGAAAGCACCGTGTAACCTGAGTGCAGAATGCTTCCAGCTGGGCTGTGAGCAAGGGCTACTCATGTGGCCCATCTGCAGAAGTCTGGATGCATGTAACAGATAATGCAGCTCACAGGAGTAGAGGGAGAGGGGCTGGGGAGGGCGGGCTGCCCCAGGCCCCTGGGAGATGGAGAGGGCAGAACAGAGGAAGCACCCAGCCAATGAGGCTGTGTTGTATGTGGGTTCCTGCCTGGCACTGGGTAAGTGCCTTCGGACTCTGGAGTTAAACATGGCCACAGCGACATGGCTCTAAGCTCACCCTTGGAAGCTCCTCTTTGGTGTCCTATAGGCATCTTCAGGTTGGCATGGATTTAAAACAAAGTCCCTGATGTCATTTCCTCATCTGATTCCCCACCTCAGGCAGCCACTCTCTGCCCAAACAATCCGGCAGAAACCTAGGGGCCACCCTACGCTCCTCAGGGCCTAGCGCCCCCTGGCTCAGTAGAGCCATTCTCTGTCCTCCTTGTCCCTGGCGATGGAAGTCCACCTGTGCCCCACGAGGGCAGGGCTCTGCATGCCCCTGTTGCCACCTTGGTTTGCCCAGAAGGAGACTGTTGTGCAAAGAGAGGTCCTTAACTCTGTGAGTCCGGGGAGGTGGCGGGCTGGTGCGGGGCTGCCTCCACTGCAGCACTGCTCCTTTGCTGGTGGCCAGCCATGGGCGACATCTTACCTCGCAACCCCTCTGTCACCCTCCTCTGTCTCCTGCACGCTCTCCCTGGTGTATGTTTCTGAACCCCTGGAGTAAGCCCATCCTAGATGACCTAGGCTAATGCCCAGGGACACGGCCTGCTCGCTCTTCATGTTCTACCCGTTCTGGGCAGGATCCGCTTCAATACAGCTGTAGCGCTTTCTGCTTCTTTGCATTTTCCTCCCACAGCTGCCTGAGCACTCGGATCTCCTGCTTGGGCCACTGCAGTAGCCTTCAGGCTTCTCTTTCTCTTCCCAGCAGAGCATGTGATCATTCGTGTGCCAGGCCAGGGTGTGTCCCTTCACCTGAACCCTGTCCCAGGCCGGTGGTACCCCTGAAAGCACTGGAGCTAAAATACTCAGCCACTGCCCATGAAACATAGTTAGATTTTTATATTAATCGATTTCCTGCATATTTTCTAAGTGTTTACTTCGCTCCTCCAGCGCACCAGGCTGCTTCCTGTCTAGTCCTGACTAGACACGTTTACTGGTGCTCTCATGTCCGTCCCTATGGGACAGTTCTGGGGATTTTCAGGGTAGAGGCACACGCTGCTTGAGGCCCCTCGGCTCAGCAAAGTGGGTCATCGCACCTGCGACTCCACTCTCCTAAGTACTGGCTCTTGGCAGAGGATTTGCCCCCGGGACACATTTTGAGCTGTGGCTTTGTTTACTTTCTGGAGACACAGGATATATACGGTAACCTCCCCAATAGCAAGACCTCTGTCGCACGCACCCACCTCCTGTGACTCTGCCTGATGTGCTAGCCACAAACAGCTGTGAGGCAGAAGCTGGAAGCTAAAGCTGTTCCTCACCCCGAAGTGGAGGGCGGGGGCACTGGAGTCTGTCAGGTTTGCTTCCCTCCACCCTCCCCCTTGAGTCCCTGAGTGCATCTAGCTGGACAGTGGTGACCGCCTGGTGGGAGAAGCGAGTTGGTTTATGACTTACAACTGAAACGTCTCATTGTACTTGGGTGACCACGTGTTGCTCTTGGTCTTCGTGCCTTGCTTCCTCTTCTTGTCTCCGAGGTTGGGTCCCAGCATGCAGACTTCCACGAAGGGCCGGAACATTGCTGTGGTCTGCCAGTGCAGGTCATTAATAGCAATCACTGAAATCCAAAACGGAAAAGGGAAGGGAACATGAAATTTTAGCAAATAAATGTGTGGAAACTTAGCTTCCTCCTGTGGTCATTTACTAAAATTGGTTAATTAATTAATTTAGAGACAGTCTCACTATGTAGTCCGAGCTGGCCTCAATCTTGGTAATCTTCCTGCCCCAGCTTGCCGGGTGCTGGGATACAGGTGTGCATCATCATACCTGGCCTAAAATTTTTATTTTTAAAATGACTCATTAAGTCATAACTTCCCTTTGGTAATGTCCTGACCTCAGAAACAGGCAAAGGTTCTTGAAGAAAAGAGCTGATTCTCTGGATTGCATGCTTGATGGAGTCTGGGTTGTTGTGCCACGCTGTTGTCTATGACTCCTGAGAAGTTAGTGTTGCTCTTTAGGTCAAGCTCTGGTGTTTTCATATTGAAAACTGAGATGTGTTCATCATGGAATATTTAGAAAATATATAGAAAATCAACTAATATAAAAGTCAAACTAGCTTTCAGAGGCAATGACTGAATATTTTAGTTTTAGTACTATGACAAAGACTTTTGCACAAAATGGAATCACAATATACTGCAGCTGTGTGAGTAGCAGCGCTTGTAAAGTCTGCTTTGTGTCTAATTCCTCCCGTGTTTGTCCAGTGCAACCCTGGGCCCCTGTGCGGACACCTGTCCTGTGTGTAACTGGCCACTGCACTGTCTCCCAGCTCTGGGCATGGTAGGCATTTTTTGTGGGCGTTCTTTGCTGATGACATCCTTGGGCCAGGGTCTGAGAATGGCAGGTGCAAAGGACTCATTAAGCTCGGACATCTGGCAGATCAACAAAGTATTCTTAGAAGCCTTTAAGAAGGACACTGATAGAATGTGAGCCCATCTATTTATCTGCGTCCTTGCCTGTACTCTGTGCTGTCTGTCTCAGACCTCAGCTGTGTCGCCATTAGAATGCTAGGCTACATGAGGTGATAAATCTTAAAACTATATTGGGAGAACATGGTGCAAACCAAAGTGGATATTAAAAGGCCGAGTGTGTAATGATATAACAATAGCACACGGGTGTAATGAGCAAAATGGTAATCCTTAAATTTTACCCTTGGAATGACCTCTGCATTGAGACTAGTTTTACAATATGAAACTGATAGAGATACTAACATTAAATGTTTTCTAATTGTACAGAAAAAGAAATGAATGCATGAGTTCTGAGAGCAGTGAGAACAGTATGGCACTGATGTTCAATGAATATCCGCATCACAAACCGACCACAGAATATATCCTGCCTGAAGACTGGTCACCAGTGGAGGTAAACCATTTAGATCTTCTGAATAACACAGTCTAATATGTGTGCCATTGGTAGTTTCTGTGGTTTTCTCTAGATTCTCAGCTGTTCTAGGATCAGTGTATATTTTCCTAGGCTAGACATGAGAGAAACCAGTGTCTCGTATCATCTTGCTGTGTGTGTGCAAGGCGGCTGGTTACTTGATATATCTGCACAGGGCCCTACCTTTCACGGTGACCTTGTGCTCGCCAGTGCTGGGAGTGGCTGTGATGTCCACATGGACGGAGATCTGGCCCACGGCGTCCTTGGAGGAGCAGCCTGCAAGGAAGTGGAGGTTACTGCCCGGGCTCTTGGGTTCCTTGGGGATGGATGCCATCAGTTCTGCATCAGAGAGTTGGGCGGGTGAGAGGCTGGACAGATCCTGCATTAGCAGCTCAGTGTGATGCCGAGGACTGTCTATGGAACCTTTTGTTACATGGGTCTACAGCCTGGACGTGCTTGCTGACCCCACTCACTGACCCTGCTTATGATCCTGCTCACTGACCCCACTAGCCCAAGCTTTGTATGGATCGAAGAACCCACAGGATGCCCCTGGTGGTGACCATGTGGCAAGAACTCATTGTGCCCTGCAGTGCATTGTCCTCCACCTGTCGCTTAGCCTCAGGGAGCACAGCTGCTGCTCTCCACTCTGTGATAAGGACCTTTCCGAACCATGACACACCCGTCTCTGGGGACACGAAGAGGACCCTATAGGGCACCTGCCCTCATGGAGCTCACAGTGGCCAGCAGAGACAAAGCCCTGAAGGTCACACCGTAATAGGGCAGGCCTGAGACCCGCACAGAGGGCGTGGCAAGAAGCAGTGGTCTCTATGCCGGTTAATGCTGAAACGTGCTGTGTCGGAAACTCTTGTGACTTGGACCAGCTTAACTTCCATTCCCAAGTAGCATGGACAGTCTGCCATGTTCTTTAGTCTCTGTTACCTAATTTGTAAAATGAGGACAACACCACCCTTTTAATGTATACACATACTTATTATTTTGTGGTATGAGGAGTTGAACCCATGCCTTTTGCTAAGCTACATCCCAGCCCTTCTTTATTTACTCTTTTTTTTTTTTTTATTTTTATCGGTACCAGGGATTGAACTCATGACCATGCACTTGCAACGCAGGCACTTATGCCACTGAGCTAAATCCCCAGCCCTCTTTATTTACTCTTGAGACAGGGTCTCTCTAAGTTGCTAAATTGCCTGTCCTCCTGCCTCAGCCTCCCAGAGTGCTGGGATTACAGGCACCTGCTTGTATACTCACACTTACTAACATATCATCCATGAACAAAGCCACTTTTTCACAAATGGGAGCATATGCACTAATTTTTCACTTATTTTTATCTTTTTACCTAAAAGTAGGTAATGGAGATTATTATATTTCAGTCTGTGTAAAGCTGCCACCTTTTTTCTGTGACTTGGAATATCACAGCACTTGAACACTACTAAGTAAGGATTTGAGTTACTGGAAAATGATTGAAATGATTACTTGAAATGATCCCCTACTTGGAAATAAATCACTGAGATGCTTACAAACATTCAAGCATTTAAAACATTACAGTGTCCAGGAGATTTCTCATGCTTGGCCTTTAGCTTACAACAGGGTATAACCAACCAGTTCCTCATACTGCGGCCTCACGGGTCGGTGCCTTTCTCGTGGGAAGCTCACTCGCAGCTGTGGACCATGTCAAGAGTGGACTCCCATTCAGTCTTACCTCAGCCCTTAGAGACCGTGACCCTTGTGTGCTCATGTGTGATGTTCCAGAGGAACAAGACTGTGTTTGGGAAATAAATGGCTGATGTCCAGGGCAGGGACAGGAGCTGCGGAGTCCCTCAGGCTTCTGTCTGCAGAGGACAGAGTGGACGTAGCCCAGAGCCTGGTGCAGATCCTGCAGGGGAAAGCTGGGCCAGTGGTCACTTGGGGGACGAAGGGAGGGTTGCTCTGCCTCCGTCCATTCTTCGGGGAAATGCTGCCTAAGGCGGGGTCCCCAGAGGAGTGCTCAGCAGACAGCCTGTCTGTGTGAAGGAGCTGGGTGCAGGAGAACAGACTGTGGCAGTGGAGCTGCACCCAGGAGCTGAGGAGCTAAACACCCAAGGAGCACCAGCCCAGTGGTCAGGACCTTCCTCTCTGCCCTCTTCAATGCTGCAGAGAGGATGGGAGGGATGGTGGCCCACAGTCACATCTCCTGAGGGTCTCGTTATAATGTGTCCATTAAAGAAGCTAAAGGCCAAACTTCAGGAGGACGCCACCCTAAACCCACATAAGCTGCTGATGGGCAGGCAGCCAGCACAGTCCGGACCAGAGCTTGCGGCCTGGGGAGCCCAGCGGAGCTCCACACCCAGTCCACTCAGCCTCCAGTGCTGCTCCCTGGGAGAGTGCGGCCGCACCGCTGGCCCCCGTGCGCTGCAGTCACTTCACAGTTCACTTCGTGTACATGCTACTCTTCAAAAAGTTTGATCCTCACTGTTTAGTCATAGCCTGTTTCAAACTGAATTATTTTTCCATTATAACTTATAATAGGAAGGCTAGTAATTTTTGAACCTTAATTTTTTTCCAGATGACTGAATTTTTAATAAAAGTTAATTTTTAATGCTTGAGGGAAACACCTGTTTTTATTGCTTGCCTTGGTAATTTTGGGGGCATGTAGGTCTACAGTGTCAGGCACGATGTGTGAGAAGTTGCTGTGTTTGTCGTTGCTGTTTGCCCCTGGGTTCCCCTCGGTGCTTGCTGTCTGCAGCCTCCTCTGTGAGAACTTGGCAGCTCTGCTCACTGCTGCACCTGCTTGGGTCTGACCCCGGCACACAGACGAGAGTCTGCAGGAAGACTCGGCTGGGTGTTTCCCTGAGGTCTTCTACCCACAGGTGGCCCCTGTGTGGCTGTACACTCTGCCCTGGCCCTGGTGACATCTCCTGCCCTGCTGCTGCAGGTGGAGGAGGTCAGCATGCTGTCCTTCTGGCCTTCTTGGTTCCGTCCGTGCTTTGCACAGGGCTCCTTTGTGGCTCCTCCCCCAGTAATCCTCATGTTGGTGGCTGTCTGACTCCTCCAGAGGCCTGGATTAGCAGAGCTGTCGGTTGATCTGCTCGTGACTGTGGCAGGAAGGCTTCCAGGGCTCCCCAGTGTTTCTGGAGTATGCACATCAGTGATGTAGCCTTTGGGAGTGAGGTGGAAGTGCTTAACACAGAGCAACTCAACGACTTGGAAACCATTATTTGGTGTCATAGGGGAGACGATGCTGGAAGAGGAGCTCTGGGAGGCTGAGCAGGAACTTACATCCAGGTGAAAGGTGACCAAAGTGAGATGTACCCCAGTGCGGGCACACAGGCAGGCTGGCACATCCTGGCAGGTGCCAAGGGTTCAGTGCAGATGGGACACAGATGCAGGTGAGCGAGTGGAAGTGAGACAGTACCTTGAATGCCATCAGAAGTTTCAGTGGAAATCATAGATGGTCGGTGCGTGAGAGCTATTTGAAACCCTCTGGTTCTTGTAGGAGTGAGTCTGGGGAAGATGCCCTCTGTCCTCTGTCAGGGATGTCTCATGCTCACCGTTCAGCTGCACAGCTGCACCTCATCATGCCCAGGATAGGATCCTAGCCCCCAGGTCTCCTGAGGACCCTCTGACGACCTTGTTCCCCACCTGCACTGCTGGCACATGTGGTCACTGCTCCACAAGTTACTCCGAAATTCCACGATGTCATCAAGAAGAACGGCATGTTTGGAATCTCCTTTCTCCACTGTTCTAGGAAGCCCATTCAAATATCTCTACTATTGAGTTCTTATATTTTATTCTAAAATAATCTTTAATTATATTCTTGATCACCTCTAACATTACATAAAGTAGCACAAAGACTGGAATAATGGAATCTGGCTGTCTTGGTTATGAACTTTCATTTCCTGATACTTAAATGGAGATAAAACCACAGGCCTGGTAGCATGTAAACCCTGCTTTAAAGGATATACATTGTGTGACATACACATGAGAGCTGTGCAATCAGTGGGCCCATGTGTATTATGATAATAGCTCAGTACTTAAAGAGAATGACTCAAAGGTTTTAGCTCCCTTGAAGATTCACGCACAAAACCACATACAAAATCATGCCACACCCCCATGGACGTCATGATTATCTAGACCAAAGACCATGAAATGAGGAGTTACTGAAGCTTTCATCCGCAGCGCAGGAATTCTGACTGTGTTCATATGCATAGCCAAGATGTCACAGAACTGTCCCTTTGCCATGCAAAAACGTGGGTCAGTCATGATCCTGTGAAATGCGTTTCCTTAGCAGAGCTTCAGAACACTGATATTGAGACCAGGGATGGCAAGCAAAGGCCACTCTGCAACTCAGAAAGTGGCTGTGGTCAATCACTCCTATCTAAGAGCCCAGAGGAGTGAGTGCTGACCAGCATGTGAAGAGAAAGAAATCTGTTGCACACCGCTGTCGGGAATGTAAGTTAGCACAGCCATTATGGAAAATTGTGTGAAGGGTCTTTGGAGACAAAACCAGAACTCGTCCCATTACTGCATCTATTTCCACGAGAAATGAGGCCAATGTGTCAAAGAGATAAATGCTCTGTGAGCACTAAACACAGAAACTTAAAACACGAGGGAAAAACGCACTCCCACCTTCACAGCAGCCCCATTCACAAGTGCTATGAAATGGAAATACTTGTCAGTGGGCATGGTGGGCAAACAGGTGAAGAGAAGGAACTTAGACACCATGGGATACTAGTTAGCCCTACCAAGAGTGGAACCTGTGATTGGTGACAACCTGGGAGACCTAACCATCAGTTAGTGAAATTAGCCAGGTACAGAAGCCATGGTCTCCTTCACAGGCAGGGTGTGAAAAGGTGGAGCCTGTGGGGGCTGGGAGTGGAGGAGTAGATGCCAGCAGAGTCGGGGACCAGGGGGCAGGGCGAGTGGTCAGTGGGGCAGTGAGAAAGGAGCAGAAGATGTGGCACACTGTGTACCTAAGATGAAGGGCCTAAAAGTTTTTGCCTTGGGAAATGGCAAGTTGGGGACAGAGGTGTGTGACTGATGGAACTCATGCTGACTTCAGCTTTCAGAGAAGAAACAAAACAGACTCCTGTGTATTAAGGGCTAGCATCTGCTGGGTGCCAGGATTGTTAAAGCCTGTCTGGGTGGCCTGGTGTACATTACTGTGTGGCACAAAGTGGCAGTGGCTGGTTTCTCCCCAGAGAAACCAAAGTAGGGAAGCGACAGCCAAACTGTGGTTTCCCTATGTCTGTAATGAGAGAGCCTCTCACCAAAGCACCTGCCAGAAGGGGTCATTTCTTCTGAAAAGCAGTCATCAAGGCCGTCGCAGAGGGGCAAGACTCATGAGCAGGAAATGCTGTGCTCACCCGGGGATGCCTGTGTGTTTCAGTGTGGTGCCCTTATGATAAAGTTCACGCTGTTTTGGTTGGCAGAGGAGACATCTGCACTTGCCGCCTCCTCCACACAGAAGAGCCAAGGGGACAGGTGTGTCACTGCATATTGAGGTGGCAACCACGGAGAACACCAGAAATCAGAAGGAGAAACTTGCACAACTCATAGGCCTGGGATAAAAGCATAATAAGCATCTATCCACCAGCTCCCCAGCCAGGGTGAGGGCTAAAGAGACAGATGGCAGCAAGTGGGCAGTGTGATGCTGGCAACCTGGGCATCCACACAGCTGCACAGTCCTTGCAGGCCAACTGAGGTGGCCAGTTGGAGCTCCACACAGCACCCCTGCCACGATTCCTCCAGCCAACCCTGCGCTAGCCAGGAAGATATTGGGAAGGAAAGCTATCATCTGACCATGGGCTGCTGAGAGGTCAGAAGCTCCTACATTGCTCCAGGACCTCAGAGACAGCCACCACATAAGCGCAAGGGACAGCAGCCTCGAGAGCCCAGTGCAGCTCAGCAGAGTTCCTCTGGCCCCCACTCTGCTGTCGTCCCTGTAAGAGGCAGTTGTTAGGAGGTGGAGGGAGTATGAATGGAATGCAAAGACAGTTTTAATAAAGCTAAAGGAGGGCCAAGAGAATGTAGACAAGCAGAGATACAAAATTGGGAAGATAATGCAGGATACACAGGAGAAACTCATCAAAGAGCTTCTGAAAAAGGGCCAAACAAATCTGGGAAATGAAGAGGCTGATGCACCAATAAAATACACAATCAAAAGCCTTAACAGCAGACTACAGCAAGCAGTAGAAAGCACATCATCTAAGTCCAAGGTCCATGAGAATGAAGGTAAGGTAGAGGAAATCCATGAACTGATGTGATAGAGAACACTTGACTAATTGTGGGAAAGAAGTGGGCATCCACAGAGGAGGTTAACAGAACCCCAAGTACACAGGGCCACAAAGATCTTCACTAAGGCATGCTACAGTCAGACTTTCAAACATTCAAGAGAAAAGCCCAAGTAACATTTAAGAGAATCATTATATTAGGCTAAAAGCAGACTCAGCAGCACAAACCCTATGGACAACAAGGAAGGAATGAGTGACAGACCCAATGTCCTCCCACCAAAATAACTTCCAGCCAAACATGCTATCCCAGTGGGGCTCAGAGGACCCAAGAGGACCCGAGGGCAAGCTGCCTCCCAGACTCTGGTGAGATCATCAGGTAGAGTGAATCAAGTCAGACATAGGTTAAACACGGCATGATTTCTCTTCACTAAAACCCTTTTGATCAAGCAGTTTCTAGTCTACGAACCTGTCTTATAGAAATATTGGCAAATGTGTGTAACTAATATGCTTTTATCATGGTTTCAAATCAGACAAGCTATGCTTGTGGGTAGTAAACCAGCAAGTGCATCATGAAACATCTTACGGGTGCTGTGAGCCCATGCCAGAAGTGTGCAGGGACTCTGTGTGAAGGACATGAAGCAAAAAAGGAAAAACCAAACAATGGTGCAATACGCATGTTCCCATGGTGGGTGTGTGTGAGCTCACCCCTGTGCAACCCAGATTCTGGAAACAGACCAAGGCATATGTGAGTAGAGACGGAGGTGGCTGAGTGTGCCAGCTTTTCCATGATAAGCTTTCACATTACCCGAATTGTTTCAGTGAGCATCTACCATTTATTAAAATGTTTGAATAAACAGACAAAAGAACTAGATGTCGGGGGTGACCCTGATCAGAGTGCTATCGGCCCTATGTGCTGTATGGACTGCTGAGTGCGCCCTTCCTGAGTCATCGGGGAGCACAGGGCATGGCAGGTGGAGGGAGCAGTGTTCCCTGTGGCCTGGTAGCAGCTGCCTTGGTGACAGCAGCAACAGCCCTGATACCTCTGCAGTCAACAATCAAGTATGTCCACCTGGAAGAATGTTCAGGAAGTGGAGGTAAAAGCCCATTTGAAAAAGAGAAAGAAATTGCCTTTGTTGTGCACAGCAGTGGCAACAGAGCTAGAGATGATGCGGTTCTCAGCAGTTGGTCCAGGTTCCACCCCACAGGCAGCTTGGAATACCCAGGGGAAATACAAAGGCAGGTTGACAGAGTGCAGGGCAGCTCTTATTACCGTCTGCAAGTAGCTCCTCTGCAGGAAGGACATCCTCCAGAGGCTCTGACCTTTCTATCTGAGCTGGTCTAATCTGACATCATGGGGGCCAGGTCAGCGAGAGACAAAGGAGCTGCAGGGGACACAAGGAGGAGCTCTGCTGGGAGAAACAAAGGCAGACAGGGGAGAACAGCAGGCCAACAGCACAGGTCCCATGAGCCATCTGGGTTTCCCTCCTGCCTTCTCTGTGCTGCTTACGGATCACTACCCAGGACTGCACCGAGTTGGACTTCAAAATAGGGGCGGGAGTACGTAGGAGCACAAACTATAAGTAAACGAAGTAAACATGACTTATTTACTTGGTTACTATTATGTTAAATCTACACACCTAGGAAGCAGAAACCCTTTTGACAAGTGGAATAAATACGAACATGAAACTCTACTAGATGATACTGATTTTTCACCAGAAAAGGCTGAGTTCTGGCTCTACCACGTGCTGGCTGTGGCAGTGGGTGGTCACCTAGCTTCTCAGGGACTCAGCTTCCTTAACCACGGAACTCAGGCCATCACATTCCTTCCCAGGATTCCGAGGGCAAGGTGTGCTGTTGGGTGAAATTCCTATCTGAAACACTGAGATTCCGGCTTCTCTTGATGTGCAGGCTGGGGACTGCACCTCGGGGCTCGGTCCTGGGTGGACATGCACTGGCACCCTTCCAGTCCGTCCCCACTTCGCTGAAACCATTGAGACTGAACCTCTGTCATGGCCAGTACCCCTCCATTTATAGTGCAGGCTGTGCCGCTCCATGGCATCACTTCCCTTTAAAATTAAAGCCAACCTGAGTGTATACTTTTTAAAGGTTGAAAAAGAACATAAATTTATGAATAGAGAATGTAGTCAGATGTCTTCTCTGATCTGTCCACAAGGAAGACCTCTTCTCTGATATGACTTCATTTAGAGCTCTGTGTTCTATTTTGATTTTAGTTATCACTACAAAATACCTGTGTCACAGTTTGGCTCTAAAATGTCCCCCACAGTCTCCTGTGTGTGGGAGGTGATTGGGTCTCAGGGCTGAGCCTTCATGTGACTTCAGTTCTGATAGTACTGGAGGCCCCCGACAGGGTCTGGGGCTGGGTCCAAGTCCCCACTCCACTCTCCACTTCCAGCAGTGTGGGTTGAGTACTTTCCCTCCACCGTGCCGCCTCCGCTAGTGTCCCACAGACCGGACTGAGAGCCAGGGTGAACATGTCCTCCACTGAGTGCTGGATGTTGAGTGTTTTGTCCCAGCGATGGGAAAGTGTCTAAGAAGATCGGTACTTCCAGCAGCATCATTTGCAGGCTCCCGAGGCAGGGTGTGTGGTGACCCCTCTGCAACCTTGATACCTGGCTAGAGCCCTGGCCTCAGTGGGCTCAGGGACAAGCTCGGCAGATCCGGGCTGGGTGTGCTGCATGGAACTGAGCTCCCTGATTCAGCATGTGGCCAAGTTCCTTCATCATCACGACCTTCTGCTTTTCACTGAGATGCGGGTGGGGTGGCGTAGTGGGGCTGTGAAGCTTAGACAATGCAGAGCACTCAGTCTCCAAGGCCTGAGGGAGCCAGGCAGACACAGTCCTGGGCTGGGCAAAGCACCACTATCAGTTCAGCTGACAAGGTGCCTTGGTTTGGGTCCCTGGGTGCTTACTGTGGTTCCCTGGGTTCATCCACCTTCCACTTACACCTGACCTTTGAAGTCAGTTGCTGGTTACAAATGGTTACCGCATACAGTTTTAGGCTGGACTTCAAACAAATTTCTTCCAGTTAGAAATGCGTCCAGAGTGCTTCTAAAACTATACTGCCCCTCCCTTCCCATCCTGTAACCCTGTATAGCAGCCAGATCTGAAGCCCTTATTCACTCAGATTGGGCCTGAAGAAGAACAAGGTCCATTCTGAGTCCCTCTCAGGGCGAACTCGGGCACTCTGCCACTCACGGCAGCAAAAGCAGGTTTGTGCCCTACACAGGGCTTTTTTCCTGCTGTTTAGCAAAGCAGCAGCCGGTGGGCTGGGGACGGTGGTTTGTTTTATTTGGCAGCATCCTTCTCTCAGAGCTGAGCCAGCAGCCTTGCAAAGGCACAGTACTTTTGCAGGAGGACAAGTGGCTTTGCTTCCAGAGGACTTGGTCCTTGACTTACTCGTTAGCCAGTCACAGAATTACCAGGCAGCTCTGCCCCAGAGAACACACAGAGTTCAGATGCCATCCAAGGCCTTGGTGTACACTACAAATACATGAAGAGCTTTGAACACCAGCGTGGGTCCCAGCAGAGAGTTTGGGGTGCAGCCACAGTGCCTGCTTTGTTCTGGGGGGGTGTCTGTTTGGTCACAGCAGGGGACTGCATGGAGCCTTGGGCTGGGGAGCTCAGCATGACATGGGCACTGTGAGATCAGCGGCTCTGCAAGGCAGATGGGGCAGCGCTGTGATTTTGGGAACCAGTGCACTAGTCTGGGGAGCAGGGCTCTGGGGGTCAGCCCAGAAGGATGGCACTGCTGGGCACAGCTCCAGGTGACTTGACTCCAGACCTCAGCTCCAGGATGGACACAGGGACTTACTCCCTTCGGTGAGGACCAGCCAGACCTCCAGAGTCTGATGCAGAGGAGACGGAATGCAGCACTGCACGGTCGTCCCAGTGCCCTGGGACCTTGCAGGTCACCTCCCCAGCCTCACCACTCAGAGCCTGAGTCCCCAGCTTTGTCTGGGGACAAACACTGGCTAGGTCCCTGCTGAGAAGAAGGCTTATCTCACACCCAGGACTAGAGCATGGCTGACTTGGAGGCTGATTCACGGTGCTGCTCAGGCTCTGCCTGGGCTCCCTCCTTAACCACTGGGAGGACTCTGTCCTGTTCGAACTCTCATGCTGTCTACCCCAGGGACACTGACTTCAGTGGCCTCACAGGAAAATGACATCCCTGAGCCACCTCCTGGATGCTGTGCCACCCTGTGTTTACCCTAGACGGACACGCTGAGATGGGAATATTATACTACCAGAAACTGGCTTCTTAAGAGAGATGATGGTCAAAGGAGTCGACTTCCCTGGGCAGTCTGCTGCTTGCTGGGCTTCATGTTGAGAGTTGCATCTCCTCTTGGAGGAGAAGGGAGGCCCTGAGGAAGGCAAGCTCTGGAGGACAGAACATAAGTGATGGGGATCCCACCATGGGGCCCCACTGTTCACCAGCAAACCTACACTCAAACCCAGACATCACAATGGGGACTTTTCCTCATTTAAGAACAAAGAGCAATTTCAAATGTTTAGTTGACTTCTTAATTGGAAAATAATTAAAAATAGTCTATAAGCATTGGCGACATAACAAGCACCATTTGGCTCTTGTCTGTCATGGGAGGTTGTGAATTCTTAAAAAGCTCATCCTTTTGGAAATTTCTGACTGACCAGGAAGGCATCCGTGTGTCACCTGGAACAAGCAGACACACCAGGATGTCTGATATGGTGTGCGCAATGCCAGGACATGGCCACATCGTGCGGCTGGGAAGGTGGGCTTGGGAGGAGCGGAGGGCAGGTGCGGGGCTCAGCTCTGCAAGCGGAGGACGAGGGCTTAGGGCAGGCTGAGGGCTGGAGACCCGGGCATTTGCCACTGAGGGTCAAAGGAGGTCAGAGGGTCGCTGAACAAGCAGGGACGGGCACTGAGGAGACGACGAGAGGGCAGAACGGTGTGCTTATGGGTCAGACACAGGAGGACCACTCAAAAGAGCGCTTTCCATGGTCCAGACAGAGAAGTCCCCATGCCATGGCCACCAGGAAGGGGCCCTGATCTGGCTGGGGTGATAGTGATAGACCTGACTTCCTGTCCCTGGCAAAGGGTAGATATAGCCCTGCTGCAAGCTGACGAGGGCTGATGAGCACAGACTGGGAGTCTCTCCCACACGGCTCCACATGTTCTTCAGGGGTGCCAGCAAAGCGACTTTCTGAGAATCAAATACTTTTCTCATTGAAAAGTTTAAGCCATGCTACAGTGCACTCAGGACCATAAGGGGGAGTCACACCTAGGAGAGCTCTGGGAAGAAGGCTCAGGCATGGCCACTGGGTTTGGGGGGTTCCCCACCCTAGGACCACCTCATAAAGCCCAAATTGAGGACAGCGCTTGGCATGGCACAAGCTCTAATCCTTCTCCTGGTGACTGCTGATGCCCAAGGCCGGCATGTAGCTGTGTCTGGGAGCAGGAGAAGAAGGAATGGGGAAAGGGATTCTCCAGTCACGACATCACCACTCCAACATGGTCTGCAGCCTGGGCAGATCCCCGATGGGTATCACACAAAACTCCCTGCTGCTGAGAGGCCGCGGCCCAGCAACCCCAGTCCTGAGGAGATAAACTGGGGAATGGAGGAGACTTAGACATCGCAGAAGGAAAGCGTGTATCTGAGGACACACTCTAGGCTTTCAGCACTGTACAGAAAGCAAGGCGGGGTTCCCCAAAACCAGGTGGCACTGGAGGGGGCAGAGGTGGAGCTTCTGGCCAGCAACGGCTAGTCGTTGGCCTTGGTGTCCTTTCCTGAGTTTCCTGTGCTCTGCATTCTGTGCTGTGCATTTTACAATGCAGGTAGAAAAGATAATAAACCTTCAAAATAAAACTGTCAATGCA